AACAAAACATAGGCCTAATTAATTCGTTTTGTAATTAATTTATGTTTTACTCATTTCATTTCTATATATGAATTGCTCAACGCTATGATTGGCCCTCTGGCGGTTAAAGCATTAAATTACGTGGAATAAATAGTTTGGTTATTATTAGGCTACATAGGCTTCCCAGATAGCAAACTGACATTGAATCAACGTGGAAATATGACATAGAAACAACGTTGATCTGACATTGTTTTGCTCATCGAATTAACGTTGAACCAACGTCAGACGCGCCATTCTTTCAAAACTAACGGAAAATCAACTTGAAATCAACGCGTTGTTTCAAGGTTATGACAGCAAACCAATTTCGATTTTCATTTAGCTTTGAAGAATGCCGCGTCTGACGTTGGTTCAACGTTAATTCGATGAGCAAAATCAACGTTGTTTCAATATCATGAGAGACGTCGTTTCCACGTTGATTCAATGTCAGTTTGCTGTCTTGGTTTGCTTTGCTGTTCTGCGCGCGATTAATCTGACTTGAGGCTTGTATAGGCTAGTCTACATATGTTATAAGTGAACTTATCGCCCTCCTGAAAAATAATAAAATAAAGAAAAAGAGACAGATATCCTATAACATCTATTAAAACAACTAGGCCTACCACACGAACACGATACTCCTCCTCACCATACACGCGCAGACGGGGCCTTTATTTACAATCATGACGTACACACGAACGGACGGAAGTAGCCTATGAAGTTTCCCGGGAAATCCGCCCCGACAGCTCTCAATTAATCGGGGTTATCCACTATTAATTTTAGCATATATTTTCAAATCCTTCATGTCGTTCAAAACATGACATGCAGATTGAATCGCTCATTTATTAGGCTATACTTTTTTCTCAAGCAATAAACATTAAATAAACATATCAGTGGAAGCTTTGTAAACATTTCAATCTATAGAAGCTACCAAGTATAGGCTATGGGCACAATATAGGCCTATTGATTTGTTTGAATTTCATTGAAAAAAATACAGTTAATCATGTATTAATTTAGGGCATAACATATCGCCGGCGTCGAGTCGTCTCTTCACAATGACTGTCTGGACAAATTGTAATTTCATCAAAACATGATGCAGGTTTATTTCAGCTGAGTTGCATTTTGGTTGATCCTAATAAGATCTGTATTTGTGTTTTATCTCTCCCTCTCGTTACTTTAACTATGGGTGACAAGGGCACCTTGAGCTGCAGATGTTCTCACCGATGACAGATGGTATTGGCATCATCAGTGTATGTGTGTGTATGTGTGCAAGTACGCTGGCATCACGCAGGGACAGCGGGCAGAGCCCATACCGGCTTAGCGCCACCTGCACCCCCTAAATTGTAGCCCGAGACCCCTCTCCCACTTCTGTATACGCTCTCTGTGTGCATATGTGTGTGGGAGTTTGAATTCTAGGCAATCACAGAAGCAAAAATCACAAGATCCCGAAACATCCGAAATTGGCCTTGAATGTACAATAACAACGTCCAAAAAAACAATCTACCTAAAACTGGCATCCTCAGTTTAGATTGGTGCCCGATGGGAGTCTGAACAAAAGAATCTGGATTCGCAGTGAATCGCAATTGCAGTGTTTGATGTAAAACAGCCGTCCTGGATGTGTAATTGATAACAGAGAAGCTCTAATTGTCTCATTTATCTTCATGCAGACAGTGCAAGGCTGGTGGAGCGATTACTCTAGCCTGGCCAGCAGAGTTAGGCACAGCGGGCGGATGAAATCCAGCAAAAGCCCAGGCCAGAATCTCTCCAACATTGCATTTTCAAACATTTAGACCTTTTCAGTTTCTTTCTCTCTGGTCATCCAGTTCTATCACTTCAGAGTGAATTTTCTTTTGACTTTAAGTGACATATTATGTTATATAATGGAAATGGAAGGTCCAATTCAGTCTGTAAAATACAGCATAATGTATGTTAATTTGAACTATTTCTTAATATATGAAGAGTTCAGATGCAAAAGCCTCTAAATGCCATTTGAAATTTTCTTCTAAAATGCCCATTTTTATCAAGCTTGTATATTTAAGTTCAGTAATTTCACTTAAATGACAATTAATAGGTAATCTTCATTGCCATTTAAGTGAAATTACTGAACTTAAATATACAAGCTTGATAAAAATGGCCATTTTAGAAGAAAATTTCAAATGGCACTTAGAGGCTTTTGCATCTGAACTCTTCATATATTTTCACAGGGGTTTTATCCATGCGATTTGCATTGTGTTGTGTTCTCGGGCTGAAAGAACTTAACAGAAAAGGTCAATTTCTGTCAGAATATTATCCATTTTATTCGGATTTTCTTCTTACAGTGTGCACGTTTTCGTTCTGCAAAAGAAAGGTTCCACCTCTAAGCCATAGAAGAACAAAAACTTCTCTTAAAATATCCCATTTTTCTTAACATTTTAATAATGTAAAGACCATTTTCCCCACTATAGAACCTTATATATAATTGAAAGCTATTCTATCATCATTGATCATCATAGATGCCAAAAAAGAACCAGAGTATATATGTACACTATTTCAAACAGCTCTTTTTAAAAAGTTTTGCTCGGCATCTGTGTCATGTTTAACAGAAGACATTTAAAAGCTTGAGGGAGTGTCTCTCCGAGCGTTGTGATCCCAGAATAAGCGAAGAATCAAAGTCCCAAATCAATTAGAGACTCTCTGGAGTCGGAGTGACATTCAGAATTCACGCTCATCCGTGCCCAGATTCTCTCTCTTCGCTGCTCTCCGCTCTGCACAATGCGAGAAACAAAATGGCTCCCGCGGGCACTTCCTGCATCTCTGAGAGTGATGAATTCTTAAAGAGAGTTCCATTTCCTCTTCCTCTTTCCCCTTGTGCACTTGAAAGCCATGTGTCGAAAGCTGAGGAAAAGACAAATGATGAGCTTCTCCCCATTAAAACCTGGCATTCATTCCTGGAAGAAATCCATCATTTCTCCACTTTCTTTCTCGCCATTTACTGCCTACATTATCACAACGGATTTTGCATTTTACGTTTGTATGTGCAAGTATACAAATACAACACACAAATATTTCATTAATAAGTTATACTCTACATTTTGGATGCTCATCGCAATGCATTATGGGATTTGAAGAATATATATTTAAAATTGGCATGAAATGGAAGTTGCGATAGGCTTGTCTTCCCTATTGTGACGAACTGTGTATTTGAGTGAAACGGCCTCTCGAACAAGAACAAATGTAGGCCGGAGCTTGATTTTGTCCATTGGGAATTGATTGGATGGTTGTGGTTTGGATCTCATGTGAGTGACAGGAGGCCCCGCCCTAACGCCAGTAAACGCATCATCAGAGAAGAGATGTCGGGTTATTTTGATGAAAGATTATGAGGGCACATTAATTTTAAAAACATGATGCGTTAAACGAAACCAGACGATGAATACGTGTCTTATCTAGCGAAACAGTTTTATAAGCACAAATGCTCTGTGTAGGAGCCTAATTTTGCTTTTGTTCAGTGACAATTATTTCATATTATCTGTTGTATTTCAGTATTTTAAAGGGTTAGTTCACCCAAAAATGAAAATTCTGTCAGTATTTACTCACCCTCATGTTGTTCCAACCCCGTAAGACCTTCGTTCATCTTCAGAACACAAATTAAGATATTTAAGATATTAAGATCGCTCCTGCATACAGTCCATAGGCTTCTTGAGGGACTGGCTCTTGCTGTCCTCGAAAAGTCATTAAAGACATCGTTAAAATAGTCCAAGTGACTACAGGGGCTCAATCTTAAGTTTATCAAACGACGAGAACACTTTTGTGCGCAAAAAAACAACAAAAATAACGACTTTATTTCAAATATTCGTTTATTTCTCCCTCTGCGCGAGTCAGGTTACTAGTTTAATAGCGTAAGCTTCTGTTATTGTACGTCACACGCATCACACACACATGACCAGCGTCGGCCAATAGTGAGCCTACGTGTGACGTAGCTCTACGCAATCACACTACGTTAACTGACTTACAGGCTCATGGAGAAGGAAGTGAATAGTTGAAATAAAGCCGTTATTTTTGTTGTTTTTTTGCGCACAAAAGTGTTCTCGTCGTTTGATAAACTTAAGATTGAGCCCCTGTAGTCACTTGGACTATTTTGACGATGTCTTTAATGACTTTTCGAGGACAGCAAGAGCCAGTCCCTCAAGAAGCCTATGGACTGTATGCAGGAGCGATCTTAATATCTTAAATATCTTAATTTGTGTTCCGAAGATGAACGAAGGTCTTACGGGGGTTGGAACAACATGAGGGTGAGTAAATACTGACAGAATTGTCATTTTTGGGTGAACTAACCCTTTAATATTTGTGTTTTGATTGTAACTTTCTTTCTTTGTGTGTACTAATTAGACAAATATTCTCTATATTTACCTTGAAATTTGGTAAGTGTAAAAATTGTACTCTGGCCCTTTAAGAAGTGCGACTGTAAGTGAGGCGGTTGTGCGTTCTGTATAGGAAATAGAGTGGAGTCGCACAGTTTTCTTTACCGCATCCGTGATATTTAGGATTTAAGATTATATTTGGTTTCTTTTCTTTTCTTTGTTTTATTTACTAACGAGTTTGGATTAAAGGAAGAATTTACATGAAGAAAACGGTGCATGTGAATTATTTTTGTTTTAATTGGACACGGAGCGAGTTGACTGGAATTCTTGCGATGCTCACTCACAATCAAAATGAACGAATCTTTTTTCGAGGCATTTGGTATATTCAACAAACGAAATGAACAAAATGACTCGAAAAACGATTCATTTGTGCCTATAAAACGTACACTTTTTTATTTATTTTTTAAATAAGCGATCGTTTCGCTTGATAAGACCCTTATTCATCATCTGGTGTCATTTTTAAAGCCCTTTGAACAGTTTGCACTGAAACTGTCTTTTGGACCTTGAACCGTTTGGTTCCCATTGAAGTCCATTATATGGAGAAAAATCCTGGAAAAAACAAGAATTGTCCATTTTGTTTCATTGTGACTTTAAGAAGCCAGCATAATTACACTGCCTACCTTTTGGAACAGCTTTCGTGTCGGGAACACACATATGATGCCTTAAAACGTAGGCAGCTCACTAGGCGCTGGAACAGAGCTTATGTCTCCTGTTCTCTCAGGGTAAATGAACACAGTTATGCTGATGCCAGCAGACACCGCCACACATGGACGCTGAGCTCTGAAACATGGCACGACAGGAAAATATGACATCAGGCAGGGCTACACAAGATGCTTTTGCCAAATGTCTAGCCTTAATTACCCTAATTAATGCAATTAGAGTTGTTATGTGACATCACCTGCATCTCACAGGCTTTAATCTATAACGTCTAATTAATATGTTTGCACATCCCACAGGTCAAAAACCAGGACCGGAAATCACATGCATTTGTGCATCCACATGAGAGCGACAGAGAAATGCATTAAAGTGCAACAGTGAAAAAACACTAATTGCAGTAGGCTAATGTGCTTTCATGTATACATATTCATTTGGATTTAAAATCAAGCGTCGTATATGTGTTTGTATGTCATTTTTATTTACCTAAATGAACTTGACTGTTCTTTAATAAGCTTTTAAGTACTTGAATTAAAAGTGAGCCACATAACTTTGTCTTGTAATCTTGAGTATTGGCTTCAGAAAGTCACATGCTATAGCTTTATGATACTTTTATAGTGTTTTGTGTATTTCATGAGCTTGACAAGATGCATAAAAAACCAGAAGATTTTTTTTTTCCTTTTATGTTCCATTGAAAGAACTCCAATAACATTGGCATTGGAACAACACCATGAATGAACACTGAACAATCCTGGGTGCTTTGCATCACTTCATTTAGAAATAAAGACAAAAAGAAAACAAAGTACTCCATAATATGTAAAAAGCTTGGAGTTTTAAAAGCAATGATTTCCATTGCAATGATTAAATTTTTTGCTTTTTAATAAGACACACATTGGCTGGCGGTGTCCTTTTACATGTACAGCTGCTCTGGGTTTTGTAGATATTGTGGGTTGGATGTGAAGTGAAGGCAACTTAATGTACAATTGTAATGGAGAATTGTGGGATCCGACTGAAGCACTGGAAGCCGGCGATGCCCTGCGGCACAAACTCCCAATGGCAATCATGTGCCAACCTTGCCCAGCTGCTCCCGGGCACCCGAGCCACATCCATGTCATTGCAATCGAACCATCTCTAAGTTTACCCTGGCATTTCACACTAAAGACCCCGAGGCATGCAGGAACGCAGCCCCTATCACCATGCTTAGAGCTGTCAGGTCCAACCAATCCACCATCCACCCATGGACCCGCTTCAGACCCATGCCTACATTTCAAAGGCCTCAATCAGTGCCACATTATTAGGAAGGTTCAATATGCAAAGGTCCAACTGGTCCACTCTCAGGAGAGATGCGGTGCTGGGCATGTGTGGGGCGATTGCAAATTAAACCAGGCTTAAAAAATGTAATAAGATGGGCTGAGTGACAAGTTAGATACTATTTTTTTCACTGTCGTTCATGCAAATATATATGCATACAAATAATGAGGTTTAAACATAAAAGGATGTTTTCGCTTTCATGATTTAAAAATATTTCCCTAGTTGCTATTAAACTGATCCCGCTGTTCCTGCAGTCTTACGATCGCACTGACCACGTGCCACTTAAAGGGGATAGGAAATTAATTTTTGGTATGTTTTAGCTTACCTCAAGGGCATCCAAGATGTAGGTGTCTTTGTTTCCACAGTATTTTCAATTTTGATATTTTTAGGTCAAACCGTTCTGTCTATCAGTCATATAATGGAGGTCTATGGTCACCACCTCAAAGAGCATGCACAGAGAAGTCCACATTAAACATGATTTAATGATTTGTTAAGATCTAAACATATTTAGTTATATACAGGAAATCGCAATGGAAGACGATTTCGATATATCAACAGACATGTGGTTACAAGAGGTAAAAACGATATAAAAACTGTTCGTTTTCTCACACAAACCGCTCGTTTTGTGTCTTAGGCCATCAATGTGTACTTACATTTACGAGTCATTAAATCATGTTTAATTTGGACTTCTCTGTGCATGCTCTTTGAGGTGGTGACCATAGACCTCCATTATATGACTGATAGACAAGAACGGTTTGACCTAAAAATATCAAAATTGAAAATACTGTGGAAACAAGGACACCTCCATCTTGGATGCCCTTGAGGTAAGCTAAAACATATCAAAAATTAATTTCAAAGTGAACTATCCCTTTAAGTTCCCTCTAATGCAGTTTTAATGTCGCGTTTCTCTTGCGTTATTCCCCATTCTTTGCTTGCTCAACCTTACACATATAGGCTTACTTAGCAGCTCGCGTTGTTGTCATTGTCTACCTTTAACGAGCTTACTCACGGTGGTTATATTTCCCATAGCCCTGGTTCTTGGCACAAGTGAAGCGCGAGCCCAAATAAGAAAAAAGCCCCCGCCTCGTGCTATTCATGGCGTGGCAACGCCGCTAAAGTGTTTCGCGGTTTATAAAAACGCTCAACATCTGTTGCGCGACCCGAGGAACCACTTTGCTTTAAAATAAATTATTAATTGACTTCTTTCACCAAATTAACCACTATACAGATAAGAACTGTAAAACCCACAACAGGGTTGCGGATGACTCGCGCGCAATGCAAAATGAAGATGCCGTTTTGACAGACTGCCAAAGGCGATGTAAAGAATAACCCCCTTGTTCTCCCTCGGGCGATTTTTCCTATAGGATGAGTAAACTCGACCTATTTTTCAGTCTGGTGCCAGAAAATCGATGAATAGCCTACAACTTTTATTTTTCTCTGACACATTCAGGACTGAAGTGCAGCTGTCCTGATGGGGATTCCCACAGTTTTGAAAAGAGTGATTAACGGCAGCAAAAGGGTCTAACAACACCTAAAATGCATTTTGATGTTAAACGATAGTCTATAATTAATGCAGCAAATTAGGGTCTTTTTTGCTTAAGGTCGCATTGTTTACTTAAGGTAAATGAGGATCAATGTTCTCTGTAGCCTAGGCCTATCCCCTTTAATTAGCCTAATTATTGGAATATGGAATAGAATAATTAAGTTTTTTTTTTATGTTTTTAAAAGGAATCTCACCTGGTCTGCATGTATTTGACCAATAACGCAGTAACTAAAAGCTGTAATATTGTGAAATATATTACAATTTCTAATAGCCTATAAAACAACAAATTTTCAGCAGCCATTACTGCAGTCTTAAAGGGATAGTTCACACAAAAATGAAAACGTCATCATTTAATCACCTTTATGTTGTTCCAATTCCAAACACGTTTGAGTTTCTTTCTTCTGTTGAACACAAATGAAGATAATTGATTTCTATAGTATGTTTATTTCCTATTATGGAGGTCAATGGCTGCCATCCAATGTTTTAATAACACCATTCTTTAAAATATCTTTGTGCTCAACAGAAGAAAGAAACTCATTCAGGTTTGTAACAAAGAATGAGAATTTTTTGGTGAACTAGCCTATCCCTTTAAGTGTCACATGATCCTTCAAAAATAAATAGGCTATTCATCGGTAAGACATCTTTGTACATTGGTTGATGATGTTGATGGTGATGGTAAAGCATTAGCAGACATTTAAAAAGAAAGGCATGCTGATGTGGGCTTTTTTCCGTTGTTTTATTGATTTCACATAGCTTTTTATTGGCTACTGCAACACTGTGAAATTTTCGATGCATTGTACAGTTTTTTTCTTTTCTTGAACTAGCTTTAAATATCTCATATTGCCACTCAAATACATCTCCACAAAATGCAGGTGTGCCTGATTATTGTTGTTGTGACTACTGAGGTCAGACACACCTGGATTAATCGGTTTGTCCAATAATGGCAGGCAGGAAACAATGAGCTGGCTTAAGTTCAGGAAGTAGTGCAGCTGTGCATAAAGCCAATTTACCCCATTCCACATTATTCGTTATCCAGGGTGAACTAAAGTAAAATGCATTGCTGAAATAATTTTCATGCAACCGCGACACTTACTGGTGAAACTATGAAATGACACGTGTCCATGTAGCCTTCATTAAACTGATGAAAAGCATCGTCATTACAATTAACACAAAGATCCCGCCGAATATCAGACGGTAGTTTACAGAGACGCTTTCCCTGTTGTTCACAGGGACTCGTGGTAAATACATCCCGACACTTTTAACAACACAAATATTTCACATTTATGTGGCTATATATAGGCCTAGTCCTCAAACAGACACACACAGAGACACACACAGAGAGACACACAGAGACACACACACCATTGGTGAACTTAAATATTAGAATAAATGTATAAAGTGAAACCTTCTCAGTTATAAATGATGCATTTCTGTGTTCTGCACTGTGACCTCTTCACTGCTGGTTTCGCACTTGCACTCCTCGACGACCATTACGCGCCTCTCGCGCACCTCAGTCCCGCAGCGCAGAGGCACGCGCACGGAGCGCGATTTAGAGGGGCCGCAGCGCGTGCACGGAGCTCCTGGTGCACGAACCTCTCCACTGGACGGGACGAACATGGAGCTGCACTGACCGAAGCAGAGATGATTGTGAACGGTCACCGTCTCACAGCCGTCCTCCGTTATGCGCTGGGAACGGTGAACACAAACGAACATGTAATAGGCTAGCAACGCAGGGGTCCTCAAGATGAATTAAAATGATTTAAAATAAGCATTAAAAAAAGGTAAAACAACTAAAAATCAAAAGATTGACTAAAGTCAAAAAGGTTGAGATCCACTGATTTAAAGGCAAACTGTTTCATAACAATAACGCCGATGATTATGATTTGTATCACTGAAAATTAAGACATTATAATTTACCCACTGTCATGTCACTATGATAGAATCATTCTTTCCATACAACGCATTGTGTTGTCAAGATCAATTGCATTTTAGATATATACAGGCCTAGAATGTTCATTATATATAAACAATATCACATGGATGTGTCCATATAGCCTATTTATATCGTATGTTAGCAAGATGACAAATTCCCTTTATACGAAATATAATTAATAATGGTCAAACATGTGCATGTTGTCGCTTTGACACTACTTTTATTTTACTTAAATCATACTATTCTAAAAAATCCGTAAAAATAGGGCACAATGTAGATAGCTGTAGGCTATTCATTAAACGGAATTTTTCCGTATTTATTTTTACAGGTGTTTTACCTGTATTTTTAATTTTTGAAACACTTCATTGCGATGTGTTTTGGGGTTAACGGAAATGTCCGTAAATTCACTATAGATGATGTAAGAGTAATATTAAGCTGCCATAGGCTAACTTTTCTGTTATTTTAAAAATTATTTTTTTTATGTGCGGTGGCCTACGATATAGCTAGGCCTGATAGCACACTTCCATCACATGGACGTCTATCTGATGTGTGTGTTTACATCTGGAAGATGTATTTTTTTTAGAGTGTTTGCTCATCTGCAATGCGTCTATTTCCTGTCAGATGTCAAATAGACATTTAGAAGATGTCTTTAAGATGTAATGATTTAGAATGTGTGTTAAACTGACATCTTAAAGATGTCTATCAGATGTTAATAAACGGCAGATGCTTTCCAGATGAAGTGATCTTTAACAGACATCTTGCAGACCTACTTGTGCTATCTGGGTATATGACGTCACAAAATAGGCAACTTCAAGTTTCACGCAGGCCTATTACATATAGAATGTGTCTAACATTGTTGACAAAAACATTTCCATCGTACAGTTATGAATTCTTACCTGTGTGAAGGGCACCGCGGCACAGCTCTGCTTGGACATGTCTTTGGGCTTGATGGGCAGCGCCACGGCCTCTTTGCTTCGCTCGCTTTTGTGCATGACTTTCTGCCACATCTCGAGACCCTGTTTTCTCCTCGCGTCTGCGCCGGTGCCGCTCGCGCTCACCGGAGAGAGCAGGCCCGAAGGTTTGGTACGGGTCAGGGCCGACGGACCAGCACGTCCGAGGGCCAAGAACGCGGGAAACGCGCCTCGACTAGGGGAGTTTTTGGACGGCACATGACTACTGGTTGCCCGTCGCATAAAATGATGAGGGTTTAGTTTGACAACTCTCACAGATCCCCGAATAGGTTCGTCTGGTCCATTCCCGGAGGATTCCAAATCTTTCGCCATGTGTCGGTGAAAGTCGCGTTGAAAGGCGCTGCGAGGGAAAGCGCCAGCCAAAGTGACCACTGACAACAGGATAAAAAAGCTGGTCATTTTTGCGAAATTATCGAATATTCGTTCGAGGTTTATCTGGAATCGATTTAGCTGAAGAAAAACTCTCTGAAGGATGTCGCTTGTTGAATAATCTCGCGGTTCAAGGTTCCGTATAGGGTAACCTTGCTGTCGTTGTGGACACGAAGCCGGAGCTGACCATTTATATACTCTCAGCGGGTTCTTTCATGACTGCTCATCATTGCTTTATTATAAGTGTGAACATAGCGATTGTATTCAGATAATGGCTGTGAGTGACAGGTGAGTTTTCGTGAGGCTGTGACAAGTGCAGCTTTCATCTCTTCATATCACACCTGTGGGAACTGAGGAACATGTGCTTTTCACATTTAACCTTTTTAAAATTACATATCAGTTCATTTTTATTTCACTCTTTAAATTAGGCTTTACTTTCAGCTGCATCAACAGATGATGTTTTTTTAACCAAAGTGAAAATCTTAATTTCTTCTTTCGTTTTACAAGAAAATTACAAAAATAGGCCACACGCTATATATATATTACAAAATATTGTTGGTTTAACTTAAAAAATGAAGTAACCTGGCTGCCTTAAAATTTTAAGTTCATTGAAATGGAATAAATGTGTTAATCCAATGAAATTGATTCAATCTTCAGAAACTCAAAATATTATGTTATCTGAGCTACATACATTATTTAAGTTGATTTGACAAAATAAAAAATGTTGTGATTACAAATCATGAAAATATTTTTTTACAGTGATAAAATATGGCCAACATTATTTTAAATAATGTTCTAGTCAGTGGATTCATTGAGAGACTCAAACGTTACTGTACAACAAGAACACTAATATTATTAATATGGTTACGAGAAGGTTATTAATTTCACAATTATGCACAATAATAACTGTCTTATGTGTTTATGGCTACACAGGTTTCTTTCTCACAGGTTCTGAAGGCTTTGCTCACCTGAAGTTCAAACAGTCAGATGTTGAGCTCGGGTGCTAAGTGTTTCCTACCTTACGTTAACACTGCGTGACAAGTATAGTCTGAATCATATAATCATAACTTTCCCAAGGGAACAAGTGCAGGAGCAGGGAAGCAAAGTGACGTCTTGTTTTAGTTGATATGCGTCTCAAAGAGGATCTGCCACACCTGATGAAGCTAAATCTTCTTCAAATCACTCCAGATCTGAACATGCATTGACTTCCATTTATTTGCAGCTTTGATTTTGTACTAAACCACACAATGTTTAACAATGTCAATTTAAACCTTATAGCATTTCACGAGGACCAATCAAAATGTAATTCAAAGTAGTGTACGAACAACGACCACCCATGCTAACTTCAGGCTATTGGTGCTCGATTGACAAAACTATCAAAACTATACTGAAATGTGATGAATTAATTATGTTGATAAATTAATATCAGAGAACAATACACTATATCTGGCAAAACCCATAGTTTGGTTGAAGAGTGCAGCCTTCTTTCAGTGTTTAGGCCAGACAGCAACATAGAGTCGGCCCAGATCCGGGCCACATCTGGTACATGTTCCACGTTGAGTGTCTGGGTAACTCAATTTAGGCTATTTAAAATAAAATTTCATAAGTCCATTAACCTATAACACATTTGTGTTTATATTTAGACATCAAGACATAAAAATAACAGCATTGTCAGCTTTTTTAAGAACGACTACAGCATAATTGCGCATGTGAATGCATTCAGTGTCCAGCAGGTGGAGCCAGTGACTGTGTGTCTGTCCTATTCCCTGAATGCCTGCTCTTAGACCAGAAGTTCATTGCTTAGCTTGGTTTGTCCTTGCAGAGACGGATCCTCTTGAGTGCCGCAGATATTCTCTGTTGAGCCAGGAAAGACTGGGGATGGTTGGGATCTCGAGAAGCGTCATTCTCGGATATCTGATGGAACGCTGCGGTCTGAAAATGACAAGGTCAACTGGTTGATACAGAGTACACACACACACACAAACACATACATGTTTTTGGAGATTTTGTCAGGGTTTGGTAACGTCTGGGTACAAATTAGTCCACAAAATATAGTTAATGGGCACACACACACACACACTGACCATAGTATGCCATGCATTTGTTTTATAATTTTCATCCGTGTGATGTCTGACATCCGACTTTGGGCTCTGAGAACTGGAAAAGGAGAGGTGTGCTCTTTCATTCTTGTCTGAATTTATTATAATAAACATGTTTTATCTATCATGCAACTCACTCAAATTCCCTTAAACTCAGTTTGGATGCCATACTACGTTTCTATTGCAGTTACAGATGATCCCTCAAGGTAAAGCCAGTGACCTAAAACAGAAAGCAGTCACACCAATACCAAACCGAACTGAGGTCATGGTCTTTAATTCAGAACAAGCGCTCGATGTCCGTAAATGGACTGTAAATACAGAAAATATAAAAGCAATATCACACACAGACCTGTCAATAAGTATAGATTTTTCTCTTCACTCACCACACTGTTCTCTGTTGTCTGTTCTGAGCACATTGTCCCGTATTCACAGAGTAAAAACCTTTTTATGTGTCTGTGACCCAGCAGGGTAACTGGTGCTGGTATTGTGCTGGAGAGAGCGAAACACAGAGGAGGATTTAGAGAACAGAAGAGAAGAGATGCTGACCAGAGCACATGCACACACCACAACACAAACACTACAAACACATGCACTCATATAAATAAAGATCCTGTACTGGCATGGCCTACGATTCCATGAAGAACCTTCAACATCCACCAAACCTTTCCTTTGGAGAAAAGGTTCTTTATAGTGGGAAAAAAAATGTTCTTTGGATTAGTCAAATGTTCTTTACACTAAGAAACAATGGTTCTTTTAACTAATGTCCAGGTCACCAAAAGTGTAAAAGAGCAGACGTCAGACATTTTCAGATGTTAAATAGACATTTAGAAAACATCTTTAAGATATTTGTGATTTATATATATAAGTAAAATTGTTTTTTTGAATATGTTTATCAGATTTTTGTAGATGTTTTCCAGATTAAGCGCTCTTTAGCAGACATCTTAGAGATGGATACCTGTGCTGTATAAAAACACAAAAACTAAATATAGCTGCAAGCAGCGATGATGGGCCCAGGCTCCGGCTCCACCGCCACCTCGGTGACTTCAGGGTGACTGTGTACAACGGGCAATATCCATCTAATGCCGGAAAATGTAAAAAAAGTTGTCAAAAGTCATTTGTACGCTACATTTACTGCAGCAGCTGGTGCCACTATGACCGTGAACCACAACAGCCACATCCATGAACTGCATGTGACAGGATGTCGTATGTCAGTTTAAAGTGATTATAAATCTATATTTGTATCTCAAATTTTTGTACTTCGAGAAGTATTTCTTAAGGTCATTTTATATTTTTATTAACCTAATAAATAAACTAATTATATAATCTATATTGTCAGGCCACTACAAATGACGCCTATGACCACTACTTAAATGCCTTTGTTTTGTTATTCAAATCTCATATAGAAATACATTGTATATAATTCAGAGGAGAATATTGTTTAGTTTCATGAATTAATCTCAAAATACAACAGTTTAAAGAAAACAAATATGTTGATCTGAAATATAGTACATTAATTTTTTTTTCAGGTTCAATGAGCAAACATATAGTCTTAATTTAGTTTAAATCAAACAATTTTTTTTACAAGATATGAGACCCTTCTTGTTTCCCTTTTTTTGACCTTACTTTAATCCCTTGGCATATCTTAAACAACACAGTTTGCATTGCATATCTCAAACAACACAGTTTGAGATATACAATATCCGTTTGCAATTTAGCATCTTCAATATATTGGCATCATGTTGAGAAAGTTTGGTGTGCATCGTATGACAGCCTTTGGAGCAGTAGTTAAAAATTCAGAGCTTGATTAAAAAAAAAAGTTCATATTCAAACTGAAATAGCTGACTTCCTGTTGGTCGGCTATTTGACTGTAATGACTGTAAATTAAAACGTTTTCCAGCTCGATGAGAACAATATATGTACCAAGTTTGGTGACTGTAGGTAAAACTAACCCCCAACTTTAGTTAAAAGGTTGCCCATTTCTAAGGTTTTGCCCATGTCTTCTGGCTGACAACTCTGATGTGTGTGTCAAGTTTCATGCAATTTGAAGTATGCTAATACTGCTCAAAAGAAGTTGACACATTGCCATGACAACAGTATTCTAGATATCAATAATCCTTCCACAAGTGTACATCTGCGGTGTCTTCACATTATTCTGATGAAGACTGAAACCAATCTAGTAAAAATAGGAGGGTGATTTTAAAACATTTTGAAAGTGACACACTTCTTGCTGCCAGTTGGTGGCACCAATCCATGGGATTGGCCTCCTACTACGAACACACCTGAAGTTTCATAAAAAACTGTCAATGTATGCAGAAGTTATAACACCCTTCCTCTTTCCCTTATTTTGCTATTAATTTGTTACCTTGGCCAATGTCTTGGCTTTATGTTGACCGAGTTTACACGTCGAGGAGTATATCAAATTCCAAGGCAGGCGTTTTTCAAACAACCCATAATAGCTGACTTTGTGTTGGGCTGGTGTATGATTTAAAGTGTGAAAGTTGTTCAGCTTGATGAAATCTATAAGTGTATGCATTTCAGAGTGAGCAAGAAAAAGGGTTTCTGAGGTCACATGTTGTTTATTAGAGGTGTTGGTGTGAAAGTTGTAGGCCTGTTTGCGGCTGGTTCTGGCAATTCTAAGAACTTCGCCGGAAAGATGAGAACAAAAACTGGGTGTTCTTAGGAATGTGTTTTCCGTGTCAATACAGTATCGTGTTAAGCGTGTACACTCTCCCCTGCTCAACTGAAGCTATTTATCAACTGACCACAAACCACACAGTGCACAACATGTTTGAGTGTTTGTGTATGTACATAGCTTTATCATCACATGAGGGGGGAAATGAGGTGAGGTTTACAGACACAATTCTTGGAACTCTTCGAATCTGGGACATTTGAAGAGACTTCATTCAGTCTCATCTGTGATGATGATCATTCAAATATTTGCATAAAACAATCATTAGTGAAAATTAATAATAGGCCTACTCAAATCTCCAGCCCCGTTTGTCAACAAACACAGAACTCCACCGTCTTTATGTGGTAAGATCAAGATTTCACATTATAGGTTACATTAGGTTAGGCAATTGGCAGTTACCATACAAGAACACTTTAACCAGAAGAACTGAATAAACATAGGCCTGCCAATACTGAATGAGTCAAAGTGAGTGTTTTCAAATGAGTAAAAAGCTTTTGGAGATGAGTAGATTAAGTACCTTTCTCGACCAACATTTGTGGTATGAAAATATTCTTACTGTGAATTAGATTAAATTTCACTGAGAGCTATATTAATAAATATCTGTTGACGATGTTTTTAGCCGATTTTAAAATCTGAGGCGAATATAAGCACGAGCACTTACTGAGAGTCACCACAAGAGTGCGCTGCTAAGCCAAGAAGATGCGTTTCACTCAAATGCCTGGTCTGGTTCAAATTGGATCGAAAGTAACATATCCTTTTATCCCAATAAATGCTAGTCAGATATTTTTCTGACATCTTAAGTGTTTTGCAGCCAAAAAGCTCTTTTTTGTTTTGTTTCATCAGTCCATAGACGGTTTGAAAAGTAACGGACACTGTACTGGAATTTCAAGCGGGACGGGTGAAAAAAAAAAACCTTTTTGGCAGATGTAAATACTTTGCTGTATCTTTAATGCTGTGCTTCTAATGTTCTGCCTAAGGTCCTGGACATTTTGTTTAGATCATGGATTCAATCAAATACCAACAGATAAAAAAAAAAAATCAAAACCTGACAGCCTGTGCTAGAAATCTTATAACGGGCCATGTTTGAATCTTCCAACCGGACAGTGATCCAAAACCAAGCATCTGCCATGACCGTCCCAGCCCCTGACCTGAAACCTATAGTAAATGAATGTGCTGAACTGAAGAGAAGCACCAACATGGATCTGGGAATCTGCAGGATCTGGACTGGAGAGATTCTTGGTGTCTGATCTCCAAACTCATCCGGCATTATGAAGACTCAGAGCGGTTATCTTGTAAAATTGAGGTAAAGAGTAGTTAATAAAAGGGGGCAAATAATTGTTCCCAATGATGTTTTGGAGAAAAACGTTAATTTCATAACGTGATTTCCCCCCCACTCTCAATTATTTTACTTCAATAAAAGGTTAGATTTTTTGCGCTTTTTTTTTTAAATTTCAAAAGGATAAACATAGTGGATTAATTTTTTTTCAGCCAACTTTGATCATATTTACCAAGGGGACAAATAGTTCTGACCAGCATAGACCTTTTAGAGTTTAAATTAAGAAAATAAACACGTTTAGTCTAAGACACAAGACAAAAAGGAAGTTTTGAACGTTTTGAAAGGTCTTTTCACACATCGAATCTCACCATTTTGCTCACACTAAGGGATTTTTCAAATGTTTATCATTGTCATTACTTCTTAAAGTTCTGCAGTATACCTTTGCTTGGTCATATCGATGAAAACAACACATGTTTTGTTACATGTGATGTTGTTTTCTTCTGGATAAAAAACAAAAACAGAAATGAATACTGAGCCCTAGACGAAAATCAATGGAAAATGACTAAATTACTAAATTTGCTCACCACAGAGATGCATTGGTTCAGTCACACCAAACAGTTACATACCTGATGGGTTACACAGCGTATGTGAGCAATGTGAGAATTACCCCAGTGTGTGGTTTTACTGTTTCAGAAAACATTAGTTTCATTAGCGAGGAAGGACCCCGAGTGGAGGTCTCTCGACTAACCTGTGTTTCGACAGAAATCTGAGGGGTTTTTCCCACTGTTGTCTTTAATCTGTGTGGTGTTGCTAGCCAAGCTAGCCATTAAAGCAGCAACTCGCATAATCATACATAAACACCACCCTACATCATTGTTTCCACACAGTGATTTAAAAGTGGTTTTCGTGCAAGTAAACATCATACCCGTATCTCCTTTTCACACAGAAACACGGACACTTCTTCATTTCTATTATTGTGCTGTTTACATGCAGTTACCCATGTGTTTGCCTGTGTGTAATTAAGTGTATAATGGGTGTCTCTTTGGATGTGCGTGTGTCTGTATGTGGGTGTGTCTCTGTATGTGGACTTGAGCATTACACTTTCTCTCCACTGTCGTGTTAAACTGTCAGCCTGCCCCGCCAGACTAGACGGCCTGCAAGGTGTCTAGTCAAAACTACACCTGTTTGTCTGCAAACAACCTCGAACAACGCTGACTCTTTGTGTACCTGTCAGTCAGTCAGCAATTACTTCAGAAAACTCACAGCTTCCATTTCAGCCAAATATTTGCTTTCACACACCCTTCAACTTTCCTGTCTCAGTCTCTCTCTCTCTCTTATCAATGCGCTGTTAAGTACAGTCTCGTTTTGGCCGTCTGTGTGCTGGACGTCTCTTATCAGTGCTCTCGAGTTAACAGACTGTAACTGTCTATTAGACGTCTGACTCTTAACACGCAGTCGAGGGGAATTCTGTGGTGGCGTGTGTGTCCTGGTTCTCTACGCTGTTGTGCGGCTCACTTTGATG